AGGTCCCTACTTTTTTTTTTTTTTTTTTAATGAGAAAGAAAGAGGGAGAAAAAGGGAGAGACGGACAGAGGTATCTTTGAGAGCATCTCTCTGCTGATATCTTCTGCGCCAGTCTCCTAGTTAGCTAGGATGACAGGTATGTACTACTGCTCCCTGCCTGTTTAGGTTGGTCCAGGATCCAAACCCAAGCATTCCATATGTCATGCAGTGACATCGTACTGCTTCTTGAAGGGCGAAATATCAGAATTTCTGGATATATTTTTACTTAAAAAAATGTTTTTAACATATTTATTTAATTCCATTTGTTTTTATTATTATTATTTTAAATTTGACTAGAGAGAGAGAGAAAGAGAAAGTGAGAAAGCAAGCCACCAGACTGGGATTCAAACCATGGTTGGCCATGTGGGAGTTCAACGGCTCAACCACCAGGCAACCTGCTGGCCCTAGTATTCTTAATTGATTTATGATTGAATGCGTGTGTGCATATGTGAGAGAGAGAGTGAAAGGAGAGAGAGAGGGATGAGGGAGTACCCTCCTCAGGATCTGGTCGCACTGTAGTCCTTTTCCTCCAGCCTTCAGCCCATTAGCTTCGACACTTGTGCATGTGCCTGGCTTGTTTCAGCCTGACCAGGCAGGAATTTGAACTGTGACTACCACGTGGGATCTAGAAGGAGAAAATGGGAGAGAAAGAGAAGCACCCTCCAGAATCTGGTCACAGTGGGATCCCCATCCTCCAATCTTCTAGCACTGAGGACCTTGGGCACCTGCACGTGTGGCTGGCATGTTGTGGGCTGGGAATCTAAACCTTGGTCATGAAATCTGGCTTCTCTTGAGCAGCGTGATACCACTGTGCCACAGAGCTAACCCAGAAGATAACATCCTTGAAGAACTCAGGCCATGTCTTAAAATCTCCTTAAATATATCTCTTCTAATCACCAGGAAGGCCCTCTCTTCTCTCTGAGCCTATGAAGACTTGCTTTGTGGGGGGCAACGTGACATTCACCTGCCAAGTGTCTGGAGCCTACCCATCTGCCAGGATCCTGTGGCTGAGGAACCTCACCCAGCCCGAGGTGGTCATCCAGCCCAGCAGCCACTATGTCATTGCCCAGAATGGCCTGACCTCCACCCTTACCATCCACAACTGCTCCCAGGACCTGGATGAAGGCTACTACGTGTGCAGGGCTGAGAACTCCGTGGGGGTAAGGGAGGTGGACATCTGGCTGAGCGTGAAGGGTGAGTCATAGAAATGATCCTGAAGGAGGGTGGAGGGTTTCAGAGCACATGCCACCAGCTTGGGGACAGCCTGGTGCCTCCCTCCATGTGGGCCACTGAACTAGGAGAAGGCTGCTCTGCTTCCTTCTCAAGGCTCAACAAGGTGGCTGGGAAAAGTGATCACCCAGCCCTATGATATCTAACATTTGCACAGGGAGCACAGGTTCTGTAAGATCCGTTACACACCAAAGACTATACGAGGGGACTTCACACAGCTTGTGGAGAATGCATGTTAAGAAAATCCACTCTGTGTGGATTTCAATTTATTTTTGCACCATAAAAAAACTCGTACTTTAAAAAATAAAATTAATTTTTTTCTTCCTTGAGTGAGAGAGACAGAGATAACATCTCCAACAGGGTCTTTTTTTTTTTTTCTTTTTTTGCTATAGGGTGTGTGCACTCGCCAGAAAGACAGAGAGACAGAAAGTGAGAAATCACCCCCAGGGGGAATGGCCAGGCCACAATCCCTCCAACAGGGTCCTGATGCCACGGTCTACCTGCAGCCTGCCCAGATCATGGGCACGCATAGTTCTAGGATACTCACAAGAGGTCTCTGAATGCAAACCTGAAACCTTCCCATGTGGGTCAGCCTCACTGAGTGTAGCACCTTACCACTGTGCCGCAAATGGCCCCTAATCTCACATTTTAATTCCATCTTTCACAACCTTCTTGAAGTCCGTGTGCGTGCGTGTATGTGTGTGTGTGTTATATTGGGTTGTCGGAAAAGTCACTACACATTTTGTATAGAAAAGCATACTTTTCTGATGACCCAACATGTAAGTTGTGAAGCATAATAGCAATATGAACACCCAAGTAACTACCATCCCACATAAAACATAGAGCAGTACTGGGACCAGCAGATGGAGTAATGGCTACCTCGCTGAACTCCCATGTAGTCGACCATGTAGTTCGAGTCCTGGACCCGGTGGCTTAAACTCACGCTGGGCACATGTGTGTGCGTGCCAAAGATCCCAAGAGGAAAATGGAGGAGAAGGGATTGTGGTGTGGTCATCCCCTCTAGGGGTTGATTTCTCACTTTCTGTCTCTCTGTCTCTCTCTGTCTTTCTGGTGAGCGCACACGCCCCATAGCAAAAAACAAAACAAAACAAAACAAAAAAACCCTCTCCATAAAACATAGAGCAGTACTAACACTAATGAAATTACCTGCAAGTAGCAGGACCAGATTTAGAAAACGATAAGGCCAAAACAATAGCAACCCACATAAATTTGAGTTTCAGAAAACTAACAAATAATTTTTATTTTTAGTATAAATATGTCTCAAATATTGAATGTAGAGATATATTTATTCTAAAAAAAGTATTCTAAAAAATTGTTTATCTGACATTCAAATTTCACTGGGCTTACTATGTGTTACCTGGCAACTCTACCCATAGGCCTCCATGAAAGGTAACTACTATCCTGAATGTCTTGTTTTATTCAATACATTTTTTTCACTACCTACGTACATATTTCTAAATAACATATTAATTTATATTTGTTATTCAGTTTTATTTATTTTTTAAGAGAGATTTTTGCCACAGGACATGTGCATTTGCTGGAGAGACAGAGAGAGACAGAGTGTTTTTCAAGTCAGCAGGTCCAGGACTCAAACTCTGGAGTTGGACAGGTTGGATTCAGCACCTGAACCACCATGCCACCAATTGGCCCTCATAGAGGATTTTTAAGGCAGTGGAAGTACTTGGTAGGATATTATGATGTCAGATGCATGTCATTACACAGTTGTCCAAACCCATGGAGCATAAAACACTAAGAGTGAACCCTAACGTGAACTATGGCTTTGGATGAGGAAAAGCGTCAGTGCAGGTTCGTCACTTACAACACATGGACCACTCTGGTGGGTGTGTTTGTAGTGGCAGAGCCCATTTGTGGATGGTATGGGGATATATAGGCAATCCCTGTACTTTCTGCTCAGTTTCGTTGTGAACCTAAAACTGCTCTAAAAAAGTAAAGTCAGGGGCCAGCCTGGAGTGTGGAGGTTAAGGTAGCTGGATTCCCATGTGGCTGACTGTGGTTTGAGTCCCAGACCCAGTGACTTGGAAAAAATATGCGGGTGCATATGTGTAGCCAAAATTTTGCAAGGAGAATAGAGAGAGATCAGCAGATGACATAGTGGTTATGTCATTGGACTCCCATGTAGTCGACTGCGGTTTGAGTCCTATACCAGGCAACTTAAAACTCAGGCCAGGTACATGTGTGTGTGTGTGCCCACCCAAAAACCAGAGAGGAGAATGGAGGAGAAGGGATTGGGGCATGGCAATCCTGCCGAGGGGGTGATTTGTTGCTTTCTGTCTCTCTCTCTCTGGCAAGCACATGTGCCCTATAGTAAAAATCTCTCTTAAAAAAAAAAGAAAGAAAGAAAGAAAGAAAGGAGAATAGAAGAAAGGGGCTGCAGCATGACCATTCCTCAAAAGTGTTGCTTTCTCCATTTGCGTCTCACTCTGTCTCTGGTGAGCACACTCTGTCTCTGGCAAAAATTAAAAATAAATAAAGTAAAAAAATCCAAAAGGTTGTTACCATACAGATGTGGTCTTTCATGACTTCCTTTTTTTTAAATTTTTTTTTTAATGCATTTCATGTTTATTGGGTCAGGAAAGCCATGATGCATTTCTGGATAGAAAAACATTTAAAAAAAAATGTCATGACTTTCCCAATCACCTAATAGTTTCTAGGATTTATTCGTGCTGATATGCGTGACTGTATTTCATACCTTTTCACCTCTGTTTAACATTTCAGTATGTCACCACAATGAAACAACATTCATTTTCCAGCTCAGGGATGTTTGCGTTATTTCTGATGTGCTGGTGGTGTTGTTGTCATGGTAAACACTGTTGCTATGGCCATCTTTTACCCAGTTCCTTGTGTACACGTACACCAGGTCTACAGGCAAACATTTCTCTAGAATATATAAAAGGAATAGAAATGAAGGGCTATAGGGGATGTGCATTTTTATTTTTATGCCATAATGCCCAATTATAAAAAAAAAAAAGTGGTTGCATCAATTTCCATTCCCATGAGCACTACAAAGGACTTCAGTAGGTTCATGGGAAAATGAAATGAAAGTATGTATTTGGGTATAAAAAATTTTTGAAATCCACGCACACAGTTATTTTATAATAGACATATTCACAAACTTTGATGACTCCTTGTTTATGAGTATTCTTTCATTCCACATTGTTACCACTAGGTCTATTTTTGCCCATCTAGTAGGTATAAAATGGAATCTCACTGTGGTTCTATATTGAATGTCCTTTTATTATGATTATCATTATTATTTCAATTGTCAGAGGGCACTCGTGCTCACCAGAGAGAGCCAGAGAAACAGAGAGAGGGAGAGGGAGAAGGTATCCCCCAATGGGGTGTGGTTACATCATAATCCTGTCTTCTCTACTTCTCCATTCTATCTGGACTGGGATCAGATTGGGATATGGCTCTCTTAACCACTAAGCAATGGGACTGACCCTGAGTTTCTCTGTTTATTAAGAAGGTTTCAAGCATTACTTCATGTTTATTGCTGTCTTGGTTTCTTCTGTGGAATATATATTCATGTCTTTTGACATTGTCTCTTTCCTTATAGCTGTGTAAGTGAAGTTTAGAAATTCCTCATAGTACTTCCTTGTTAGTTTCCCATGTTACAAAGAGCTCTTCTCAGTTTGTCTTTTCTCCTTCTTTATGATATCCTTTGGGGACCAGCAGATGGCATAATGGTTACATTGCTGGACTCCCACAGAGTTGACTGTGGTTCGAGTCCTGGACCTGGCGACGTAAAACTAATGCTGAACGCATGTGTGTGCATGCCCAAGATCCTGAGAGGAAAATGGAGGAAAAGGGATTGTAGCATTGCCATCCCCCGGCAAGAGATTTCTCACTTATTGTCTCGCTGTCTCTTTCTGTCTCTCCAGCAAGTACACATGCCCTATAGCAAAAATCTCTCTTTAAAAAAAAAAGATATCCAGGTGCTGGTAGGTGGTGTGGTGGTTAAGGGTGCTGGACTCCCACATGGCTGACTGCAGTTCAAGTTCCAGACCTGATGGCTTGCTTTCTCACTTTCTCTCTCTTTCTCTCGCTCTCACTCTCATTCTGTCCTTCTCTGATTCAATTAAAAATAAATAAATGAATGAAGTTAAATAAAATAATTCTTTTTTTAAAAAAAATGATATCCTTTGATTAACAAATGTTCTCATGGAGGAGTCCGACCCGGCGGGGCCCCAGGATCTGCCTGAGCCCCCTCGCTTCCGGTCGGTTCAGTACGTTGGCAAGGCCGCTACTGTGTGCTCCCCCACCCTCCCCACCCCCGAACCTAGGATTTTGCTGCAGAAACTGTGGCAGCCTTGCTGGGAAGCGATCCCCATCTGACTCCCCAATATACTACTATAAAAGAATTACATAGCTCTCCTGTACATCCTGAGTATACGATAAAATCTTCCGGGAAGTCCCCTGACCGCTCCCCTTTGCTCTGACCACCTATTGTCAATTACAATACTTTACTCCAGAGGGTCACAATGGAGGATGTGATGAAGTCACATCTAGGCAGCAATCTTCCTGACCTTTGGAAGGCCCAGGGCACTCCCACACCACTATGGCTAATGTTCCAACAAGATGCATGCATCAGCTAATAATCATCTCTGCTTACCAAAACCGCTTTCCCAAAACTGCATTCCATGGAGACCCACCTACAATTGTGGAACTGCACTAGACCCACCCTTAATCCAACCCTAAATAGAATCTATATTCTCTATTATTAAAACTTTATGAGCTGATAATTAAAACACGTAGTCCCTCTCCCTTTACTTGCATGTATCACATTTTCAATAAAAACGCACGATAATTCCTAACAGTTGTCACTCCTCAGAGAGCGATCTTTGAGGGGTGTCTGGCATAGGATGTGCATAAAAAGGCACCGAGGCCTTTGTCTTCTGTTCACCTTTGCCGCCTCTGTTGAGATAACCCACCCATGCCGAGGCTAGTCCCCGGCATTCTTACTTTAATGTAGTTGATTTTATTGAACTTTTCTTGTATTAAGAATTTTTTTTGTCTTAAATCTTCCCTTGCCAGCAGGTAGCATGGCAGTTAAGGCATTGGATCCCACGTGGCCAAATGCATGGTTCATATCCAGACCCAGTACTTTGAAAAACATGCTGGATGCATGTGTGTGCATGCTCAAAATCCCAGGAGGAGAATGGAGGAGAAGGGATTGCAGCATGGCTATCTCCCCTAGGAGGTGATTTCTCACTTTCCCTCTCTGCCTCTCTGACAAGTGCATGTACCCTATTGCAGAAACTAAAAAAGAAAGAAGTCTTCCCTATTCTAGGATCACAAAGGTAGTCCATCTTTTCATCTAAAAGTTTAAATGTTTTGCCTTTCATAGTCAAATCTTTAATGCATGAGAATTGATTTTTGTGAATACTGTGAAGAAGGAATCAAATTTCTTTCTTTTCCCCGATTTGGATAACCATTTGTTCCAGCACTATTTTTTGGTTTTTGGATTTTTTAATTTCGCCAAAGGGTACCTGCACTTTCCAGAGAGATAGGAAGACAGTGAGAGAGGAAGAGGGAAAAGGCATCCCCCAATGAGGTGTGGTCATGCTGCTAATCATTCTCCTCCATTTCTCTATCCTGTGCAGATTTGGGGTTTGTAAGGACACATGTCTGGCATGTTCTTCAAGCTGCCAGGGCTGGGAACTTGAACTACATGGTTGCCCATGTGGGATCGAGCTCTCTTAGTCACTAGGCCACAGGGCCAGACCCCAGTACCACTTTTTGAATAGTGCTACCTTTGCTCACTAATGTTAGGTTTCTTTGTATGAGTGGGCCTGTTCCTAAAGTCTTATTCTGTTCCCTCCATTGTTCTGTACTTACAGTACCAGTAAGTCACAGTCTTGCTTCCCATGGCTTTATTCATAGTTGATGTCTGGGGGACACAGACATTTTAATTTTTCAGTGTTTTTTCACATCACATGCTTTGTTTGCTTCACACAGGCTGTGCTTGAGGTCAGGAGATAAGATATTTATCTTGCATGACTGAGGTTTCAAACTTTGTCCACGGTCATACAACCAAGATAAGAATACTGTGATCCAGGCAGAGGAGGGAGGATGTGCTCTCCTACCATAGCTGCCCACACAACAGATGGAAGAGTCAGTGGTGTGACTTGTCTTTACAGAACCTTTGAACATCGGAGGAATTGTGGGGACCATCGTGAGCCTCTTGCTGCTGGGACTGGTCATTGTCCTAGGGCTTATGTTGTATTACAGCCCCGTGTTCTGCTGGAAAGGTAAGTTCTTCTCCAGTCCCCTTGCTTCTCTTTAAGGAGGCTCTGTGATGCTCCCCTCTGAAAATCTATTGTACAGGCCATACCACTGGGTCAAGATGTGCAATAATGGGGCCAGCAGGTTGTTAAGGTACTGGACTCCCACATGGCTGACCGCTGTTCTAGTCCCAGACCCAGCAGCTTGGGAATCGCACTGGGTGCGTGTGTTTGTGTGCCCCAAATCCCAAGGGATCGTGGTGTGGGTAGTCCCCCTGGGAGGTGATTCCTCACTTTCTCTCTCCCTGTCTCTCCAGCAAGCATACACACCCTACAGCAAAAATCTCTAAAAAAAGATGGGCATTACTGAGGCATCTAAGAATCATCATCAACACCCAATCACCTGTCAATTTTTGTTCACTTTTTGTAGATATTAGATTGATGAAAAACTTCTGTGAAGCCAAAGTGGATGTTACTGAATATTAATTTTTTTTCTTCCCTTTTACTTCAGTAGGAAATACTTTCAGGTGAGTGTTCCTGGACTCAAATCAAAAGCCCACTTCTAAGATCTGTCTTCACTGCTATCTTGTTTCCTTTCACAAGAATAATCATATCAACAACCACCGAGGACCTACCACCTGCCAGACACTGGCCTGGGGGGCTTTGTCAGGCATTACTACAAACACTTCATCTCCTTTTGCCAGACAAGGGGATGGAAGCTCAGTGAAGGAACTTCTGTAAGCTCATCCATGAAGCAGACTTCAGACTCAGGTCTGATTGGTTCCGAAGTCTATACTTTGATTCAGTGCCAAACCTCAGGGCAGGGCCCATTGGCAGGTCTGTCAATGAGATGTAAGAACAGTGTGTACTCGGTGAGCCCAGTCATTCATGCATTCGTTTTGTTTAATTTTCTAAAAAGAGCTAAAAGCAAGAATAAGTTATAGTCTTACAGAACGTTTTAGAAGACTAGTCAGAGCATGCCCCGAAGTTCCTCCCAAAAGGAAATCCCATTAGGGGCAAAGTAACCAAAAGGCATTGGTATATTTAATTTTGTAAGGAGATCCTACGTGGGTGCAAAGAACTCTTCTCTGCAGTCCTATGGAAAAAGCTCCTCTACCCATTCATAACGAGAGCATATTATTGTTCTGGGACCATCTCGTATGGGAAAGTAGTACCTTTACTGCCCTGCCTTTGAGGGCCATCCTCCCAGTAGGTCTGTCATTATCCAGGCTGCTATGGCATAGGAGGGAGCAGTGTGACCTAGTGGGAAAAGCCTTTGGAATCAGTGGACGTGGGTTACAAGTGCAGCCGGGTCATTACCAAGCCCTGTGCCCATGCAATATTTCTGACCCTCTCTGAGCTTCACTCTCCTTGTCTGTCTCACAGATAAGGTAGTGATGATGAAATGAGCATATAACGAGCCCAGCAGGTGGCATGGTGGTTAAGGCGCTGGATTCCCACATGGCTGACCACAGTTTGAATCCTAACCCCAGCAGCCTGAAAATCACAACAGATTAGTAGATAAGTAAATGTTTTGGAAAAAACATGTAACATTCTAAAACTATGACTAGCTCATGGCACAAATTCCTCCTTCTTTAAGAAATGTACAGTCTGGGGACCAGCAGATGATGTAATGGTTATGTCGTTGAACTCCCACATAGCCGACCATGGTTCAAGTCCCAGACCTGGAGGCTTAAACCTCATGCCGGGCATGTATACATGCATGCCCAAGATCCCAAGAGGAGAACAGAGGAGAAGGGATTTGATGTGGCCATCCCCCTGGGGGATGATTTCTCGTACTCTGCCTCTGTCTCTCTGGTGAGTACACATAACCTATAGCAAAAATCTCTCTCTCAAAAAAAAAATGAAATGTACAGTCTGGCTAGGGTGGCAAAGCTAGCAGTATACTACAGGGCAATTGCATGCTAAGCCAGGGCCCATGCCATGGCACAGTGAGGTGTTGCTCAGGAGAACCCAGATCCCACACAGCAGCTGTGGTTCAGATCCCTGGCCCAGTCAGCCTGAAACATGGTGGGCATGTGCACAAGTGCTCAGGATTAGATAGGCTAGAGGAAGGGGATTTCAGTATGACTAGACTTTGCAGAGGGTTCTGCCTCTCTCTCTCTTACTCTTGCATGTGTGCACATGCTCTATCATGAATAAATGCTAAGCTGCTGGCTGGACTCCGAATGCCATCATGGTTTAGGGCTTTCGGTGGAGGTAAAAGGCTTTACAAGGGCCTTAAATAATAAGGACAAAAGTAGAGTAGCAATAAGGGCATTTTAGGAGTGGAACAGAGCATCTGGATATGTGTGGGAGGGAATGGAAACTATAGATGCCTCAGACAGTACGGTCAGTGCCCAAGGAGCAAGGGAGGAATAATAAGATACACCCAGCAAAGGTAGGATCATCCGTAGCGGTTGGTGGCAGCATCTCTCGGGTTTACACAACGCTGCCATCTCATGATTAACCAAACTGAACGCATGAAGACTTTTCCATTTTACTAAAGGGGACACAAAGACTCTAGCCTGTCCTATTCAGTGAGGGCTGAAGTTGGGAAAAAGACACGATATCGTCTTGATTATTCTCCCTCTTTGGAAATTAGGAGACAAGACATGGGTGATGTCATGGTTTTGGTGGATTCAGAGGAGGAAGAAGAGGAAGAAGAGGAGGAACATGCTGCAGTGGAGGAGGAGGAGGAAGCAAATGAGACAGAAGAGTTGCCCAAAGAAAGACACAAGCATGGACATGTTCATAGAGTGACTGCACTAGTGAACGGGGACTTAGAGCGGATGGGGAATGGACTCCAGGATCTGCAAGGTAAGGTCTTGTTCCTTAAACACACTCTGACCTGCAGCGAGCTTCCCAGAAGGCAATCTCCAAGGGGTCAGTTTGGTTTTCGAAAGGCTGGGGAAAATAGTGAAAATTTAGCCTGGAACCTGAGAGACTCTATCAGCTACAAGCACAAAAAGGAAACCAGTGAAGCTAGCTGTTGCCGCGCAGCAGTAACAACACCCTAAGATGCAGAACCCACATGGGAAGGTCCCAGCTTCATTTCCTGAGGTCTCCTGTGTACGCTGGACACCCATATGCATGCTGTGATCCCGGCTGGCCGAAGCCAAGGATGGATCATGGCATGAAGACCCAGTTTAAGTGCCTGTCTCTTTCTCTCCTCTCTGTTGCTCATGAAAGAGATAAATGAACGAATTACGACAAAAAAAGTAAATTGGCAAACTTTCATCAAGAGCTCATTCCATCAGAGGCACAGTATTGGCATTGTTGGGGCATAGAAAAGGAAGACTGCCAGTGTCTGCATGCAGCAAGCTTTACACAGTCAGTTAGTTAGTGAACAGACTAAAACACATGGGGAAAATGGAAACAAGCAAGATTGAACCAGCACTTTGCAAAAGCTATTGGATTGTCAGGAAAGTCATAATGCATTTTTGCATAAAAGACAGAAAAATACATCATGACTTTCCTGACAACCCAATAGAAGAACTGTTGTGAAGAGGGATTTGATTCATTGCCTGTTGGATGATGCATCTAGAAATGATAGAACCTCAGAGAAAGAGGTGAGTGTGGAAGGGGCATCTTGGTCAGGAGAACACTCAGAAGAGGTGTGATATAAGTCTTTAAGGACAGTTAAGGGTTTTTATCCTTTTTTTTTTTAATTACTGGAGGCTCATGAGCTCACTACAGAGAGAATGAGAGAGGGAGATAAAGCACTCCCTATGGGGTATGGCCATGCTGCAGTCCTTTCTTCTTGATCTTCATCCTGCATGTTTTCAAGTCACTGCAGCAAGACTCGAACTTCAGCCAGCCATGGATCTGGCCAGGGATCTGGCTCCCTATGCACTGCACTTAACCACTTAACCACTGCATAACAGGGCCAGCCTGAGGACAGTTAAGTTTGAATGAACAGAAGGGTAAAGAGAGCATTTCAGGGGAGGGCAGTGGCCTGAGCCAAAAGCAGTAAAGGGTAGCAAGCGGTAAGCCTGTCTAGAGGAGTCCGAATGAAGAGAAGAGATGAAAGGGACACACACCCTGCCCCACCGTCTCCTCCATGAAATTCAGTTCCATGGCTCACCACGAAATGGCTAGAATTATTGACATGACTGAAGATTTCGGGACCAACAGATATGTAGCGGTTACATCACTGGACTCCCACATGGCCAACAGTGGTTCAAGTCCTGGACCTAGTGATTTGAAAATCACACTGGGTGTGTGTGTGTGCATGCCCAAGATCCCAAGAGAAGAATGGATGAGAAGGGACTATAGTGTGGCCTTCCCCCCTCCCTGGGAGTGATTTTTCAATTTCCCTGTCACTGTCTCTGTTTCTCTCTCCGGGTGAGTGCACGCGCCCTAAGACAAAAACTTCTTGAAAAAAAAGGAGGGAGGGATGACAAGATTTGATGGTGGCAACAGAACCACACTCTGAAGTCGCTCAGTCGGGTCTCGTTTCTCTCCCATGCAGATGACAGCACTGAGCAGCAGAGTGACATCACTGAAGAAGACAGGCCAGTTTGAAGAGGCTTGTCCATCATTATCTCGCCTTGAAAGCCTGGAAAGCGACACTGAAGATGACTTCTTCACTCGGCTTTGACTTGACCCACGCCCCTACGTGGAGGCTTGCATCAGCAACAATAGGGTCTCTCAGCAAAACCCTAACACACCTTTCCTTCCATTTTGAAAAAAAAGTGGTTCAATTTGCTGTAAGTTTTCTTAATGATGTAAAAAAGCTTTGGGAAGGGTCAGTTTGTGTGGGAAAACCACAGCTGTCATCTGAGGTACCATTTCTGTTGTGACTTCTGGTTGATGGTGATCTAGAGGGAGCAGGGGTCAGGGGAAGCACTTGGTCTCTGGCTGTTCTTTGTCACAATTACAGGTTCATAACCAGCTTGCTCCAGCACACCGGGAACGTCGTGGGGTGATAGGAAAACGCCTATTGCTGCCCATGTGAGCTCGTGACTAAGGAACCAGCAAATGTCACCTCTCTGGAAAAGCTGAACTTTTCAGCCACCCGTGCAAGTCAGGGGAAGGCAGTCTGGTTTGGACTTTGGAGTCAGAAACACTGGGCTTGAATCGGGGCCCTGCTACTTTTTTGCCTCATGGGCTTGGCCATGTTGCTTGACCTCTTCTTGGGCCTCAATTTCCTCATCTGTTAAATAGGTGAAGTCGTACCTTCCCTCCAGGTTTGTGGTGAGGATTAAATGAGGTACCTTGGGATGTAAAAGTTCCTAGGAGGTGCTCAATAGATGTTAGTTATCTTTGCCCTTAATGTCTGTTTGTTTTTGTTATAAAGATGTATGTGCTTGCCCAAGAGAGACAGATTGGTGTGGGGTGCGATAAGAAAGTATCTCCTCAGGGGGATAGCCATGCCTTAGTACTTTCTTCTCTATTCTTTCCTCTTGGAATTTTGGGTATGCATACACATGTACCTGGCATGTTTTTCAAACCTCCAGGTCCAGGACTCGAACTGTTCAGTTAGCCAGGTGGGATGCAGCCACCTTAACCACCAAGCCACCATTGACCCTCTTTGCTTTTTCAAGTGGAAGAAAAAAATGTTAACTATAAGTTAAGAGCTGCTGTCTATGCCTATCATTCTTACAGAATGGTTTCAGACAAGGTCATTATCTGAGTGCTCTTGATTTTTGATGTTTGTTTCTCTGGAGATCTAATTCTTTTCAAAAGCGGTAGGGGTTAGGAAGAGAAAGTGCCTTTCATTATAGCTTCATATTTCACAGATTCATATTTATATATAAGCCTCCTAGGTAATGCACTATACCTTTCAGATTTTTTCATTCTTCATTTCTCTTGTTGCTTTGAAAGAAGATAGGAGAAATGTGTTGTAATAGAGTATCTGGTGATAAGAACTTCTTGGGCAAACCAGTTCATCTGGCCTCAGTTTCTCTATGCAAATGGGAAAACTTGTTTCCTTTCTGTTTCTTAAGAATATTATGAAGATGCACTGATCATTAATACTAAGTTTCAAGCGAAAATTATGCCTGATGAGTTTAGGCTGTTTGTGCTCCCAGTAGATCTTGTACAATCTTTTTTAATTTGCTATAATGTTGATGCACTCACAGGAGAGTGAGAGAGAAAGCATCCATCCAAGGGAATGGCCACAGCACAATCTCTTCCCCTCCATTCTCCTCTTGGGATCTTGGGCAGGCATGCACACACACCCTGCATGTGTTTCAAGCTGCAGGGTCCAGGACTTGAACCATGCAGTTGGCCACATGGGATCCAGCCTCCTCAACCACCATGTTACCTGGCTGGCCCAAGATTATTTTTTTCCCGATTTCATCCAAATGTCTTAAAATGTCAGGGACCTTATAAAGGTGCAGTAGATATGTGCTAACCACAAAAATCTGACTTGAATTTGCACTCTTTAATGTTGAATTTGCACTCTCTTATGTTGAACGTCTCTGATGCCAACAAATGGGACTCCTAACATGAGAAGCTAGTTATCTGAAGTAACCCTGTAGACAAGGCTGAGGAAGGTTTCTTTTCTTGGACGAAGGGAGTAAACTGAACAAATCACTGGGACTGTGGGCCCCGTTCCCAGCTCAGACCCCGGGGACCTCAGTCAGAGCTGGCTGCAATTTCCACCCCCTCAGGACTAGCTGTGAGTTGCACTTCTACTTAGCTAGGTCTTCTACTGCATGGTACCTCATGTACTTAACCACTGTCGACAACGGAAGTGTCATTTCACAATGGGGTGCTCAGGTTGTTTCAAAAGTCACTGAAGACTGAGCCAGTCTCTGCTTTCGAGTCTTCAGAGAATAAATTCCAGAACTCAGGAGTTTCTTCCGAGGTATGCAGATTAAAAAGTTTACGGAAGAAACTATGGGGAGTAACATAAATCCCTAGCTGGGAACAGAGAGAACGTTTTGCAACATCATCGAGATGCTTTCCACAGTTGTCTTCTCTTGCACACACACCTGATGATAGCAGCTATTTGAAGGTTTTCTACTAGCAAATGGATACTTTGAGGTCTAGGTGCCAAACACAGTGAACCCCTCACTGGTCGAGCTGTGACTGCTACAGCTTATTTCAGAGTCCAGCGTGCAGGTTTATATGTGGGGTCAGTCAAGAGCCCACATACCGGAATCTTTACGTTTCAAGGATTTTTAAACAATTATGGCTGCTTTTCTGCTTTCAAGATGACCACAATTCAATCCACAAGCATGTTGACAGTGGATAACAGACTTTGTTACACTGTGCTTTAAAAAAAAAAAATTATCCCGCATGTATTGTTAAGTCAGAGACCATGAGATCTCCTTATCAGAACCAGGAAGATAAACAGGTCAGGGCTATTACGCTGACACTCCCTTCCTTGAAACCTGGTAGACACTGGGGAGGGGGTTCCTGTGGCTTCCACACTGGCGTCAATTCACAAGCACACACAGGCCCTTTAATTAATTGCAGCAGGAAAACACATGGTGGAAAGTTTCCATAACCCATGCACTGAGACCTGGGAAATAGCCTTGCTGGGTAAAACGTGCGATGATGCAATGAGTGCCAACCAGCATTTCTCACTATGGGACTGGCCAAGAGCTGCTGCAAAGACAAGCAGATCCCTCTGCACTGTTTTCCTTTTAATATTGGGTTGGGGGAGGCCTGGAGAAATTAGTTCTAAGGTTATAATATGGATTTTTTTTGTTAAAAGATTATGCTGCAATAAAATTATTTTTTAAATAAAAGCTTCAGTGATCTGGATTTAGACCTCATCAGTAAATGGAAAGTTTTTGTTTGTCTTTACAGGTAATATTGTCTCCCTTACCGTTTTACTGTTTATCATGATTTGTATATACTAAAATGAGGACCTGAAGATACCAGGAATCAGGGGACTCTGAAAAGATGGAGAGCAGAGAAAATGGAAAAGAGAAAAACAGCAAGGGTGGAGAGTCTGAGAAACTAAAGCTGGGTAAAAAAGGTAGGAAGGAGTGGCAGGAAGACTGAGACTGGACAATAAATAAAAATAGTAAAACGGGCGGCCAAAGGAGGCAGGGAGGCCAATGGAAGCCAGGGTGGAGGATATTAAAATCAGGATGGGGGGGTTTAACTGGAGGCTCAGAGAAAGGAAGAAGCTGTTTTTTGTCTTTTTTTTTTTTTTTTTAGGGAAACCAAAAGAAATACCTAGTGAAAAACTAAGGGTGAAAACCGGAAATGCCAGAGTTAAAATAGCCAGTGAGAAAGAACAGCCAGCCATTAAAAAAAAAGAGTAGGAGTTCAAAAATGCACAGGCCAGGTAAACACAGGTATAACCCAGGAGGCTGGAGGCCAACAGCTCAGTGAAGAGGAGTCCAGGGATCAGAGGGTATTTGGAGGAGAGAGGGATCACTGACAGTCGTTAGAAGGTTCCCAAAACAGGGCCATGGAGTGAAAAAAAGGAGAAAGAGGAATCAGAAGAGGGAGATTGATTGACCTAAAAACAAAAACAGCACTGGGGGGGGG